GCTCGGTCATATTTTGAAATCTTCCTATTTTCGCACTTTTGACCGCTCGAAAAAAATAGAAAGAAGCGTCAGAATCAAAAAATTCTTTCGACAGGTTTCTTAGAATAGCTTATATTTCGATATAAAAAAGTAAAAAAAAAAGGGTGATAGGCACTTTAAAGACAACTTGCTATTATTGCGCAACCTTTCCATTGTGTCGCGGAGGACTGGCAGAAAACAAAAACAAGTAACACTTATTGACTGGGCTACCACAGGCAACCCAGTAATGCCTACTCAAAACTCGAATTCTGATAGGAGTTTTTTCTTACAAGGAACACCATAATGCAATCAGAATTCCAGAACAGGCATTAAATTCAACAACACCCTTCGTAATTGTATTAACGGTTTTTAGTGATTCAAAGTATAGACAATAATGTTGAACACTATGTATTCGGTTCATAGGTAGATACTTTGACAAGGATGGACAACAGAGAGAATGGTGGTCAAATATTACGCTTGAAGAATTTGATAAAAGGAAAAAATGCTTCGAAAACCAGTATTCAGAATACAAAGTGTTAGGGAAATGGCCTGTAAGAATAATCGAAGAATAATTCAAACAAACTATATGCTTTAAAACTAAAAATAACCAAGTGTCTTGGAAATGGAGTTTGTCTAGATGTCGTGCGTCGTGTGCCGTGTGTCGTGGGTCCAAGCATTTAAGTTGCAACTCATTAATCAAGTATTGATAAGGGGACATACTAGAATTTCAGCCGGCTTCGGTTACTGTAGTATTAGTGTGCAATTCATTCATGTCCCGCTTCACGTATTTTGTCCAAACCAGGAGGAAGGGGCGTCTCTATTGCTTCAGGCCCTGCATTTCAGGACAGCGTTGTTTCCAAACGTCACGCCACCTAACAGCTGGATTGCTTCAGGATTCTTGTCAATGTTGATATAATAAAAACGCCATAGCAGTTTGAAAATGGAGCAAAAGGAAGGCTAAGTTTCATAYTAAAAAGCTAAAGACGTGCCTACTATGCAGTACTTTTATAGTCTAGTGCAATCTGCTTTGTATTTTCATCTATCCATTTGTTGATATTCGATGATAATTCGGCATTCCGCAATTATTAATTATTAAGTTTCAGCTCCTAAAAATCATCTTCAAGGTATCGGTAGAATAACTCGTTAAACATACTCTAAAATAACTAGAATTTGTGTTTATTGCTAAATCAAGACAAAAAATTATTGTAATATGAACCTTTTTCTATCCGTCATCCGGCTATCCGTCTTCAATCTCGGCACTAGTTTGAAAATAAGAGACACTGTTTCAGCCATTTGTCTGGAGACGCTCCCTTCCTCCTGGTTCAAACAAAACAAATCCTTACATTCTTCCCCTTAAATGTGAGTAGTATACCATGTGCTACTCTGTCTCAGATTTTAGATTACTCGAAGGTTGATCGTTCGCCGGCTAGAATTTCAACGACCGTCAATCAAAGAATTGAAATAACACAATATTTTAAGGGAAATTTTGGACTTATTTCAAGTGACCCTCACCCCTAAATCAATATGATCAGTGTTGGTTCTACACGATAAGTGAGTAATTGAATTGTAAAATATTTTATTTTATATGATTTGAATGATGCATCTTGAAGATATTAAGGTTTGTACTATCGTGATATCATAGCAGGATTTGAGTTTATTAGTCAGTCATCAATTGTAAACTTAAACTTTGATTTCTACGAAACAACAAATTTGCAACAATCTTTCTATAAACCATGATTAAGACAATGAAGCACGACGCACGACGCACAGAGCTCGACAGTTACTGGTAACCATGGTTTGAATTAATTGTTGTGTTATTATCAGATCAACGAAAATACTACAGTTGAGGAGAATATTGCAGACAACGGCGCTATGAAAATAGCACTCAAGGTACCGAATGTTAATAATAAATGTTGAATGACAGATTCAGTTGAGGAGGTGGGACAGGCGTCAGTTTCCATGGGGGTACGTAAACATTGGAGGAGGAAAGCTTTCCCTCTCCAAAGTCGAAAAATTTATATTTTCAACCTAAACAGATGGTGGAAGAAAAGGCATGAAAAGTCTTGGTTTGAATAATCGACGACCTAATATTCTTTGCAGGAGAGGTTTGGTGAACATTATCTTACTATTAGCTAATGCCATTTTTTTCACAATTTTGTTTGTAGACGTTTGTAAAAAGTATATATTTTTCAGGCATATTACAATTGGGCAAAGCAAAATCCCGATGGAACATGGCTGCTACCAGGACTCAATTATACCAATGAACAGCTCTTCTACATTGGATTTGCTCAGGTAAATGTCTGTTCTTTTGTTTGAACCTTTAGTTTTCTATAATGCTTTTTTTGTGGGTCTAGATAAAATACCCTATATAAAATAGACTCTTGCTCAAGTGATTTCTTGCTGTTTATCCTACGATTCCGGCACCCTCTGGTTAGAACCGCTATCGGCAATCTTGGTAAATATTTATCTTTGAGTCCCGCATTTTTATTTGCCGCCATTGACAAATTGACATTTCACTGTGAGCATACTTTTGCAACTAGTATTCTTTTTAAAAAAGACAGTAATATCATGATTGGCTTGGGATCCATTGTTTCCACAGGGACGCTTAGGCTCAGGTCAAACGTAGAACTTCACATGAGCCGAACCTAAATACATCAAAGAAGACCGCCTTGTTGTCCATTGTTTCAATTCTAGTATGTTTATTAGACTAATCCTCCCTCATGAATATGAATAGACACTTCAATATAGTACACTTACTTAGTATACTTTTGTGACTTATTCCTTCAAAGCTAGTAAATGTCAGTCTACTCTTTTTTTATTACTATAATGCACAGCACTTTTGTAGTAACTCTACCCTTCAAGATCGATACGAATCTAATCAGGATGCAAATCATGCAGATGACAAATTCAGGTTTGTATATTAGCTGCTGCATTAAAGGCACATGAAATTCGACTTAATGAGGTATTTTTAAAAGTCATAACTTTGATTTTAATTAAATTTAGCAAAAAAAAAACTTTCCTGAAGACACATAAAACACTGATGTCTATTTTTTAATTTCGTCCCGCGCTGGTTACGTTATGTAACATGACAACTGGGATCAAGGAACAAGTTTTCATAACCATTTGCTTAATATTTTAACAGGATTATTGGTTCGTTAGCAAATTCCTGCGAGTTCGCCAATGCATTCAAGTGCAGAATCAACAGCCCAATGAATCCAATCAACAAATGCTATCTGTGGAGTAAAGAAGGACCATTGGACTAATAACATTTTAGTCCCTTGATAATTCTATAACGCGCCATACTGCAATCCACGGATATGCTAGGCATTAAACAAAGAAGTTCATTATAAATAAATAAAATGGATGTTCAAAGATGCCTAGTTTATTGTTTCAGTCAACCTTCTTGCCTGTGTAGCCTCAATAATCCTGTTTTTACAACCATCACCCCCGTACAGGGTTCTTTCGTGAGGCCAATCTCGTACCCTGAGCCCTTATTTCGTACTGAGCATGCTCGACAGAAAATATTGGGCTCCGAAAATTCCAATATTTCAAAAGATTATTTCAAATCGCTGAATTTATTTATTTTTTATTTTTTATTTTTTCAAAAATGGAAAACTATATCCGGTGTCAATATACTAAATATGATTTAGTTTTCCATTTTAAATTTTTTTGAAAGAAAAAAGTATTCGTGAAGGTTATGTTGCGTTCAGTGCGGTACGTGAATTGACGTTAATGCAAATTACGTGTTGATAATGTAAACCTTTTTTTCTCGTTGAAAACTGTATTCCTTTTCTTTTACTGTCTTGAGATTAAAGAGACTTAAAACCTTGTCAGAAACATAGTTTATTGTATATGATTTTCTTAAACAACCTAAACTTCCGGGAAAACAGTCAATATACAATTTATCGACCACGATGAAATAGAAAGCTAAACAATGATATTCTGAATTTAAACAGATACTTATCAAACCGATAATATAGAAGATACTCTCAAACCTAGTTCTGAATAACTAGTTACTAAACTTTGCCTAATGATAGTTATTGAAATGAATTCTCTAGTGCTAAAATACTCACTAATCATGAACAGCAAAAATGTCACGCGATTCGTTATACAATCATTGTAAGCTGAAATACAACTTATTACAACAGTATTATAAAACTGATTTCTTCTTTGTTAAATTTCACCAGGAGAAAAAAGATGTGGGGGCGTGGGGATGCTGGGGTGTGATCGTATGATGCTCAAACAACACGCGATACCCAAAAAGATCATCAATACTTGCGGCATTGTAACGATTGAGAGAGTTATTATGCAATACTGTTTTACGCATTGGAAAGTTGACTTTCATAATAACAGCAGAGTCTTAATTCGTATATGAAGTTTTAATATCTCAAAAACAGGTTTTTTCACTTTCATCCGGTACAAGGATTCTAGGCTTTGGGGGCTTTAATGAGGGGAGGGAATAAGAGGAGGAAGGGAACGAGGACTCCCCAGTCGTCCTGCCCTTCCTCCCCTAGTAGTTGTCGATACTAATTTTAATCCACTCAAATCTTTTCCATCCGTTATCCAAAATCTCTAAGTTCTTTATTCAACGTGCAAAATAGTTTCTCTCTCCAACAAGCTAAATATTTAATTATTACGAAATATACTTATACACACTTACTTCATGTTAGTCTTATCCAGCATGTGACATCTGTTCGATGTTTTGACTCCGGGTGTCGCTTTATACCATTCACAATCTGGTACAAGATTCTGTCTGGCTGGATATCCTTTACCGAGAAAAGTATAACAACAGCCAAATGTTATCACATGCTAGAATCCATTTTTCAGAGTATTTGAAGGGTTCTAATGAATTCGTTACGCTGAACCAACACATTTATGCAGCAAGAACAACTAGTTTCGAGCCACCGCTTTCATATACCGTTTTTAACAGGAAAACAATAATAAATAAATAAAAAGCAAACGTTACCTTGCTTATCAGAAACTTCTCGTACATACTTTCCAATCCAAAAGCCGAGTGGAATGGTAGACATTTTAACCCAGTCAATATCAAGGTCTTCTATGTCTTCTAGCGCGATATTATATTGCAGAGCTGCGGCTTTGTTGACCCGTGTTTCACACCAGCTTTCAAATATATTTACCGCCCATTGATATTTTTGTATTGACTAGACTTGGGTACAGCTTGGGATAATGCTTCTTTTTCATACTCCCTGGTTTTCGCTTTTCAAATTGGTTCAGTGGTCGTACAATTTCATCGGGGCTTGAAGCCATGCTACCCGCCAAACGAGGTACATCGACTGAACAAAAACTATTTTGTTTTTCAAACTTATTTCAAAAGGCAAATCAGACTGCATTAGAACGTGAATATGAACAACTCCCTGAGGGTAAAAAACCAAAAGATTAGTAGACTCCTGTAAGGTATTATCATTGTGTTGAGGCAGTCGTACAATAACGAACATTTTTCTTCTCAAGTTATCAATGAATTGCTGAGTTGCACTATTGACGTAATTTCGTCTCGTGCGGAATGTTCATCAGCTGTTTCACATGTTTCCCAATAGAATTCTTTCTGGCTGACAGCACATGGTGGTCAGTGCTTGCCAACCATGTGGAGCAGATAGTGAGATTCAAAAACGTTTATCAGCTGAGTGAAAGCCAGCAATATGCCGATGTCATACCCGGCTGTCAAAATCGCATGATCCCTAAGGGCAAGAAACAAAGAAGCCTTCTAAATAATCAATTAGCGAGAGATTAGATCATTAGATCCCTTCGCAGTTTCCTGCGCCATCTTGAAAGGTAGCCGTGCCTTTGCATCGAAGCGAGACGAACGATGAGCTGGTAATAACAGAGATCTTTTTTTTAACGCTTTGGAAAATTAATCATTATGTCTCTATCATTGTCCATATTCTTCTTGCAGGTGCCTAGTTTTGCACCTGCCAAAAAGAGCGGAAAGTGCCTTCCAGCACTGGAGTAAAGACAAATGGAAGCAACGAAGCGTGAAAATGGAAAAAATCGTGATGTCAATTATCCAAATAAAAAGCTCGTTCAAAAGTGAAGAAAAAATATCACAATTCAATAACCTAAAAAGTTACAAACCTAGTTTATTATCAATACTCCGAGAACAGTCTCTTTTGTTACGCGGTACTTTAATCAGTTTGCTAATCTATAATTTTCGTGAGTGGTGTCAGTTGACTGTCATTATGTTGTGAAACATCCAATGGAACACGGCTCTGATATCACGCGATTTTAACAACGTCGAACACAAGATAGCGGGATAGATTTGTGCGTACATTCCTTAGTGGCGGAGGCTTGATAAAAGAGCGCGCAGGCGTCTTTAAACGAATTATGGAAACAAACACAAAGAAAACAATTCTTCTCTAGAGAGGATCGACTATTTTACTGCTAATTAAGGAAAACGAGCCTATTAAACCAATATGATAATACTTTATCACTTCTCATCACACAATATTGAATCACACGTTATAAGTCCTATTAAATACTTTTATTATTTCGTCTTTTATGCTACCAAACGTCAATCCACATGGAGGTTTTTCGACACTCCAAAGTTGAAATTTAATAACTTTTCAAATAGTTAGTACTGGTGTGGAGAGACGAGACCGCCATTTCAAAGTGGTCATCGGAGCCACTTGAAAGTCTAACCGTTTTAATTTTAGATGTAATTACAAAGGCAGCACTTTCTACTCAGTTATTTTAAGACACTAGTAAGTGTTGATCCTGCTGGGACTCGAATCACGACTTCCTGCACGAAAGTCCGATTCTCAACCAACTGAGCCAACCAGTTGGAAGTTAATAATAACGATAATAGTCCCCTTCACGGTTCCCTGCGCCATCTTGAAAAGTAGCCGGGCCTTTGCATCGAAGCGAGACGAACGGTGAGGTATTGCCCAAGGTATTAAAAAAGGTCTCTATCATTGCAAGCTCAACGTTCGTCTCGCTTCGATGGAAAGGCACGGCTACCTTTCAAGATGGCGCAGGGAACTATTGTCTTCTTATAACTCAATACTCGGTTTATTTCTTAGTTTACTTTTGAGTCCTAAGATAGCGGTCGCCTGTATGTAAGTGATGTAAGCGTGCCCTATGATTACATAATGATCTAATAAACTTCGGAAATATAAAAACGTCTTAGGACATCGTACAGTTTCTTTTTTGAAGAACAGGTAAATTAAGAAGGTGACAGTTAACGACAAGAAATAAAAAAAGGCATACGAGAGATTTTCATGAAGCAGTCTTGTCTCGCAATGTTTAAAATTATAGAAAAAACTATCAGTTAAGATTTACAGTTATTTACATTTAACTGTCAAACACACAAACATTGACATGAAAGAAGAATTAAAAGTCAAGCAATGGAAGCCAAAACAGATTAGAAAAAAATAGATTAGATGGCAGAAGCAGGTCATTTCTATTAAGGAAAAACAACTACGACAAGCAATGAATGGAATTTATTAAAAAAATAAAGTTATGTGAAAACCAGCATTTTTGAACAGGTAAGATACACGTTTGATTTACCGGTTAACAAAATCACGTAACTAATTTTAAACTTGTTTTAAACAAAGACTTGATCGATAGCCTACAGTTGTGGTAACACACTTTGATGAGAAGGGAGCAGTTAATATCAGACGGCTCAGCAAGAATCAGTGTAGTCGTGATGGAAAGAATGATGAATGGTGGCAGCGGTGGGAGACAAGAAAACAAGCGATGGTCGTTAATCCATGGTGCTCGTTTCTTGACCGTCTTTCTGGTGATAACCATAATCCACGTATCAGCCAGTCAGAACAAGATAAGTACTATTGATCAAGGTTTGAACAAGATTTCATCCCCAAGAAATGTCAAGACTACAAGTAAAACCAACACTCAATCCAGCATGCTTTGTAACACCACTGAATGCATTGAGGCAGCCAATCTAATCAAAAGTTCGATGAACCTGGCCGTGAACCCTTGTGATGATATCTATGAGCACGCTTGTGGGAGATGGAATATAAGCAATCCTTTACCGCCAGGCCTCTCATATTACTCTATGTATGTACTAGCCGGAAGGAAATTAGATAAATATAAAAGAACAATCTTTGAAACGGGAAACATACCAGCAAAGGGAGCAAGCAGAGAAATAAAGCAAATGCCATCATATTTGTACAAATCATGCATGAACCTAACGGCCATTGACAATCTTGGTGACGCACCTCTGAGAGAACGTATTAGAGAACTTGGAGGTTGGGACATGAGTGGAGACTGGAATGAGTCTTCGTGGGATTTTAAGAAAAACCTTCTTTCTATTCATAAATTGAAAAAGGGAGGGCCTGTGTTTTACGTGGATATCGTACCAAGCGGCCTAGGCATTAAAAGAAGCTTCGTAAGTACCTTATTGAGTTGAACAATAAAATGCCTAGAAACCAAGATTAAAAACAACAATCAAAACTTGCCATGCATCGTAAAACTACTAATAGGCTGATATCGTGCTTAACCTGACAACTGTATTCTTTTCTTGTTCTTGGAAATACTGAGTTTAATGATTGATGGTAGTTTATTACTCTCATCCTGTAGATACTTCAACCTGATGAAGTCTTACCCAAAGAAGAATATCTAAATTTATCATCAAAGGTACGTGTATGCTTCTCTTATATAGCGTAAATACAAGCAAAGTCTGTATACTATTTCATTTTCTACTATCTTGATATAAACGAAATATTTTTCCCTAGACAATTTTAGCATATAGACAGCTGATCATTGAAGTTGTTAATCTGTTGGGTGGTAAAGTTAACACCACTGCCAAGAAAGCAGACGAGATCATTCGCTTGGAAGCTCAACTTGCAGACGTGAGTGAAGTGTTATGATTATTCATTGACATTATAAAAAAGTAAATAAAAAAAATTTTAGGTCTTCAGTTGGGATTACTCTAATATGTTAATGTTTTGTACTGCCTAGATATCTTTTACTCACTCAGCATGGCAACGATTCTTATCGGTAAATAGAACTCTTGATCAGCTTCAACAAGAAGTGCCTGAGGTAATGTTATAGCTTAATTTTTCATTCGTAATATATTTCTTTGAATCTTAACATAACTTTTATATTAATGAATACACGTGAGCACTGTGTGGGCTAAATTCGGGCAGCTTTAATGTACTATACACTTAGGGGACATAATACAACTGCCATGGGATAACGGCGAGCTAAAAGCGAAATATGGAACGAACTATCGGTTACAAATACGGCGATGCCACGAGGTGACATATAACATGGCTTTGAATCTCTTTTACTTAAAAAAAAGAAAGATAACTACAGATAATCCAATACAATATCAGGTTTAGTGAAGTTTTCCTCGGATGTCTTTCATTGAAATCGAAAATCTGAAGATTTAGGACAAATCAAGACTAAACTGACAGACTTGAAAATTGGTTAAGGTGAACAAAAAATGAGCTTACTTAATTACGTCTTTTACAGAACGATGTTTGGTTTTCCATAGGAATTTTTATGTTTTTATATGAAATGTATTTTTACCGCAATGAAAATAAAAAGATAAATGCTTTGGTAGCAACCGAGAGAAAATTGGCTGGAGATCATAACTTGAGAAATAAGGCCCTGAACGTTAAAACAAAATGAGTCATCAGTTGAAAAATAGCTTTCTTATCCTAATTCTTCATTAATATGTTTTTATTTCTTTCATATAAGCCTTAACTACTTTCAAGAAGCTTGAAAACTTAAGCTTACTAGATTTTGAGATTCGATTTTACCAGTTTTCATCTGTTTTCATGTGTGAGAAAGCTACGAAAATCCGGCGAACGACAAAAGTTTTCCAAAAACAAAGTTTATATTCAGTTAAACTTGACAAAGAACCGACTGCGACAAAATAGAAAATAATGCAAAATGCAATGGAAAATACAAAATGACGAATTTCTTTGTCAGTAAATTGGCACTTGTAAATGTTTTTGAATACTTTTTAGCTTACTCGAACTTGCTCGAACAGCTTAATAAACAGTTGAATATTTGGTGTAAATTTATATTTCATTCAATAATTAAATAAATTATCTGTAGAAAGATATAAAATTATTGAATGAAAGTCTCCTTCGTTTTGCCGATGGGACCCCACGATAGGAGGCGAACAAAGCTGCACTTGAACGAAAAACATACGATAGTTGGTTAAAAACAACCGAATTGTTAAAGATTTACAAAGCTAAATAAAGGACGAWTATTTGTTGTCSTAATATGCTCTYCGTGTTATATTTCCTCCAGCATTAAAATAAATTAAGSWTATCTATAGAAATATWAAAAATTTTGAGAGAAAGTCTTTGATTTGTTGATTCGTCGAGAAAAATGCTTGTCAAAAAAATTATAATATACGATTGTTTGCTAAAACCCACACACCTGAGTTCTTGAAGAACACTACTTGATCCATCTTTGATTACATGAAAGTGTTTTTAATTAATTTTGGTCTATAGTCCTAAAGCAATCCCTGTGTTGTGTACACGGACGGACGGACGGACGGACGGACGGACGGATGGAAGTGACGTCAACCAAGACATGAAAGATCAACTCGATAGTTTACCATTTTTTCTCAAGTATGGTGCTTCGCGCGGGAGCTCCGCTATAATTAAAAAATCTGGAAATCTGGAAATTAGTTTAAATATGGATATATAGATATACTTGACTTTTGTAGGATTTTAGGTATATATATAAATATACACACACTCGATTGCAGAAACGTTGTAGTATACATTTATACATATATCTAACTTATTCAGTATATTTAATGGTATGAAAAACGGAAAAATCGCTTTATTTATTGTTTGTTTCATTCAATGACTGTCAAAAATATTTTTTCCTGTCTATTAGATCGTACAGATTATAAATTAGTTGGTTTTAAGCGTTGAAAATGGTTATTTTGTATTATGCATCTCATAAGATATTTGTACAAATGTATAAATGTATACTACAACGTTTTTGCAATCGAAATATAATATGTATATATACACTCGATTGCAGAAACGTTGTAGCAAACATTTATACATAACACTCAATTGAAGAATCGTTGTTGGGTTCAGAAACATAGAACATAAAAGCTGAGACCGAAATGGCACATGGGAAATGACATAATTGTATTATAATTTATTAATTTGCGCCATTTATGCAGTCGGTTTAGAATGCCAAACGCGTATTAAAAACAGTGGATGATGTCACGGGTCGCCAGTCACAGCATGCGTCTAATTAACGTACTTCCCATGTGCCATTTCGGTCACAGCTTCTATGTTCTATGTTTCTGAACCCGACAACTATTCTTCAATTGAGTGTATACAAATAACTAATGAGATGCTAAAACATGAAAAAAAATTAAATATAACCTTACCAATTAAACCAAATCTCACAAAATTATATATTTCCCAAAACATTTTTCATAAGGAATACTAAAAGTATGATTTTAGCTAGCGCCAATGAGTATTAATAAATATATATTGGAGAATTTTTAAGAATTTTTAGGCCTGAAAAGTCAAAAAATATAAATAAATCTGATTTATTAATATCTGGTTCCCAAAAGCCTGATGTATTTAACATGTCTTGCATCAAAGCAAGGTATTCTTGGTTTGCGATCAATCCTAAGAGAGCACAATAATAACAAAAGGGATGTCCGCCATGTTGGAAGATATACCAAAAGAATTCATTGAAAAATCTAATAGTGATTTTGTAAACTTTCAATCTATACACCATCACATTTTTGGACTTTTTCCCGTTTTGCATCTCATAAGGTATTTGTATATATGTATAAATTTATACTACAACGTTTTTGCAGCCGAGTGTGTATATATATATGTCTTTTGTTTTCGAGAGACGAAACAATAGAAAAACAAAAGATACATATATGTAATGTTGCAGAATTTTTTTGGTTAGGTACAGCGATATGCAGAAATTCTGATCCAACCAAGTATATAGTATATAACTATATCGGGTGCATTATGGGTAATGGACTCGCGGGATTCAAAGTACCAAAGCGTTGGCTGGCGTTTTGTTTAAGAAAAGTTACCTTTCAAAACAAACTCCGCTTTTTCCAACCAGAAAAATAACTTTCTCCCTGCCTAGGACTCAACAGTCGGCGTTATTTTCAATATAAACCGCTGTTTATTTTGTGCACTTTTGAGTAATACAAACGCTTTAGTGCAATGATGATTAATATTCAAACTTTCACTCTCGTGAGTGAACTTGTTTTGCATAACTAAACTGCAAAGCTTTTAATAGCTTGAGCCAAAAGAGAGAGAGAGAGAAATAAAAGATAACGTAACCACAAAGAATCACTAAGTTATCAGAGGAGAAGTGGAAGAATATGCCTCTCTTAAGTAAGAATAACCTCTGTTTATCTAGAAATTTTATTCAGCCGGTTCATCAACTGAGATTTGACTGAGTTGATGCTCAATAATAATAACACGGTAGACTACGAATAAAGCAAAATATCCTAT